ACGTTAATTTATCAGTTACGATTCTTATATTACATTTAAAAATTATAAATTTCAATCTTATTAATAATTTAAAATCCGTCACTTTATTACCGTGTTATATGTTGACAGGTAATCAATTAACTTATAGTTGAATTGAAACTTTAATTCACTAATGTGATAAAAATATTGCAGTGACCAAATTTGATTAAATTTTTTTGAATTTATTATATTTTTTGACGAAATAAATATTTGATGACTATTAGATTAGTCTGGTATAACTTTTTTACTCGTAATGGGTTGAATTTTTTTTTTTTTTTAACAAAAAAAAGTTAACTTTAACTTCAATTGCATAAAAGGAGGATTTATCATCTTTTCAAGAGTAAAAAGATAATAATTTAAAGGAGGGTAACTTTAAACTTTGGAAATTAGGAAATTACTTTTTTCTTATATCTTTTTCATTCTCGAGAATTTTTTTTAAAAAAGCAAAGATTTGACACATTACCAGACTGTAAAGCAAGTACCAAGCATAATGTTGTTTGCCTTCATTAATTTCTACTCTTAGTATAGCACAAAAGTTGGTCTCCTTTTTTCTTTTGTTTCGCATGAAAAAGATAAATAAAGTACAAGCACGAAACAACCAAAAAAATAATAATAAATCACCATTTATTGTGGTAATAATTTAATAAAATTACACTAATTTATTTTTTTATTTTTTATAAAGTTGATTCAATTTAGAGAAAAAATAATTCATAAATTTACGAGATAGTAAGTTTTTATAGTAATTAAAAATTTTATCTGAATTTTAGATAATATGAACAAAATTGTTTTTAGCAATGTCCTTTTCTTTAATTTACAAGAGATAAAAGAGTAAAAATGCAAATTAGGGAAACTACAAGGGCATAGCTGCAAAATAAGTAAACCAGTCATCAATTATTAGTATTACTATTAATGCAGCAAAATGCTGCTAAAACAAATCAGTCACGTTACTGGTTTTGATGGAAACGGGAGTTAGATTTTTAGCATTAAATTAATTATTATTATTTAAATAAAAATAATTAATATAATACTTTTAAAAAGTGGGACCCACACCAGTCGCACATTTCGTTTGACCAGACACCCGACTCTGGGTTAGCTTCCAACTTACAAATCCCACACGTGTGACCATTGAGTCAGATAAGCCCAGTACCCCGGTCCCATCTTCTCCCTCTCTCTCTTCTCTGTTCCATTTCATATAAGAGAAAGCAATACCATACAAATCCAGAGAGAATTTGCAGAACATCTCTGATTTAGAATCAGTACCTATCACTCTCCTCCTCCTCCTTCTTCTTCTTCTTCTTCTTCTTTTTCTTCTCACTGTTCATAATCCTCTTACGAGCTTTTTCTAACAATAACATGCCTGGGAATTTAGAGTCCTTGGATTTGTCTGTACAGATTCCGTATCACTTCAGGTGCCCAATCTCTCTTGAGCTGATGCGTGACCCTGTCACCTTATGCACCGGCCAGACCTACGACCGAGCCAGCATCGAGTCATGGGTTGCCACCGGCAACACCACCTGTCCCGTCACTCGGGTCCCCCTTACAGATTTCACCCTCATACCTAATCACACCCTGCGCCGCCTCATCCAAGACTGGTGCGTTGCGAATCGTTCCTACGGCATCGAGCGGATCCCTACTCCGAAGCAACCGGCGGACCCGGCTATGGTTCGGTCGCTTCTCAACCAGGCCTCATCTGGGTCTAACCCAGTTCAGTCTCGTCTCACAGCTTTGCGTCGACTCAGAGGACTCGCCCGTGACTCGGACAAGAACAGGTCTGTTATTTCGTCGTATAATGCACGAGAGGTGCTTGTTAATATTGTTTTCTCAGATATGGATTCCGATTCATCGGAGCTGAACCACGAGGCGCTTGCGTTGTTAGTGATGTTTCAACTCACGGAGTCTGAATGCGCGGCAATCGGGTCGGACCCGGAGCGGGTGAGTTACCTGTCCCGGTTACTTTTCCACGGGTCCGTAGATGTCCGAGTCAACTCAGCGGCGCTCATCGAAATCGTTCTCACCGGGACGAGGTGTTCAGATCTGCGAGCGCAGATTAGCAATGTGGATGCGATATTCGAAGGTGTGATCGAGATCTTGAGGAATCCGAAATCGAATCCGCGCGCGCTGAAAGTTGGCATCAAGGCTTTGTTCGCTCTTTGCTTGGTGAAGCAGACTCGGCACAGGGCTGTTTCCGCCGGAGCGGCGGAGACCCTCATCGACCGGTTGGCGGATTTCGACAAGTGCGACGCCGAGCGAGCCTTAGCGACGACGGAGCTTCTCTGCCGTGTGCCGGCGGGCTGCGCGGCGTTCGCGGCGCATAATCTGACGGTTCCCCTGCTGGTGAAGACTATTCTGAAGATCTCAGGACGCGCGACGGAGTACGCGGCGGGGGCTTTGCTGACGCTTTGCTCGGCGTCGGAACAGAGCCATAGAGAGGCGGTGAACGCTGGGATTCTAACGCAGTTGCTGCTTTTGGTGCAGAGCGAATGTACGGATAGAGCGAAGAGGAAGGCTCAGTTGTTGCTGAAGCTGCTGTGGGATTCCGAAGATTCTATTGGGAATTCTGACGATTTCGCTTGCAGTGAAGTGGCGCCGTTTTGATGGTGATTGTTCTTGTTTTTTTTTTTTTTTAGTGTTTAATTTCTTTTTTTAATTCTCCTTAAATTCAAGAAAATTAAAATTTTTATTAGGTAATTACTTGTGGGTAGTCAAGAAAATAGAGGGAAAATTTGGAATTTAAGGTGGTAGATTGGTATATAGGGAGAGAATTGTGATTGTGTATGTAATTTTGTATGTAAGAATTTTTGTGGAAAGTTGAAGAAAAAGTTTAAAAGCAATTTGAAAATATAGAGAGAGTTTTCTTATTTCAATATTCTTACTTTTCTAATTTAATTTTCTTTTTTTTCTTTACACACTAAATTTATGTATTTATTAATTATATTATCAATCATAATATAATAAAAATAATAACACTCTTATAAAATTAAAAAAAAAAATGCCATATCAATTATTAAATTAAACAATAAATGTTGATTTGGGTTATTTTCTAAACTATTAATTTTATAAATAAAATTATTTTATTTAATATCAAAATATATTATTAAAATCAATAACTTGTCTTCAATTATATTGACAAAAAATATTAATTTTAATTTAATTTAATTGAAATAAATTTTTTTTTTTACTAGGGTTAATTTAATAACCCAATGTAAATTTACTATATGGGCACCACCTAACAAGTCAAAATATTGAATAGAGATGTCTCGATTTGTCAGCAAAGGTGGCTTAATTTTAACTGCACAAGCACACCAAAGTCAAAAACTTGAATTATGTAGCACGAGGATAAGAAAGAAACATATCGGATTCTCTCGTCAACTGCGGATTTTGACTCGACAGTTATTTAAATTTATATTTATATTCGAGACTTAAAGTTTTAAATTTTATTTAATACAAAATTAATATATATTACGTTAACTTATTTAGAACGATTGAACATAAAACGTTAGTAAGTAACTTTTTATACTGTTAAATTTCAGTGCTCTAACTCTAAATAGACAGTAGAAATTAAAAAAATTATCTACTCAAAATATGATAAGGGTCGAAAAAATTTCTAATGGAATAGTAAAATGTGTAGAGATCGAAAAGAATGGCAGCAGTAAAAGCGATTTACTAATAGATGAAAGTTAGGAGAACGAATATTTTTCTCATTTTAATATCAAGCTTATTATATTTTTATTGAAAGAATAGAAAGTCATTACTATTAAAAGAAGTATATAAATTTTAGTCATTTTCTTTATTTTTAGTCTTAAAATTTGTTCGAATTTTCCTTATTTAAGTTCAGATATCAACGTTTTGAATTGGGTAACGAACAACTTATGTCAATAATTTAGCTTAATTTACTGCATAAGCTCTTGAAATTTAGTTGGGTGGCTCAAGATTTTGACTCAAGTACAATCATACGTCGATGAGTCAAAATATTAACAGTTTAAAAATAGATTATTTATGATAAATCTTAATTAATCACGTGACTAAATAATTATATATTTATTTAAAATAAATAAATAAATAAATAATATTTGAAACTAAATTATAATTAAAAAAAACATTAGATAAAATTAAACTATAATAATTACTAAACTTTGGATAATAAAAATTATATATATTATACGCGTGTGTATGTATATAAAAAAAAATATATATATATATATATATAGATGATGGGTCACATGTTGGTGGGAATAGAACCATGGAATCACATGG